CGACCCCTTATATCTCAGGATGTCACCTAGTCAGTTTTTTTTTTTTTTTTTTGACTGGGAGTCAATGTCAACAGTGAAAAAGAAAAAAACAGAGGAGGGGGGGGGGAATGGGGCGCCTCGATACGGATTTGAATCGAACATTTCGGGTCTCCACAAGAGATGGTCCACCCACTAGGCTCCCATATTACCAGAAACTGATTATTGAAAGCGTTCTCCCCATATGGGTTCTGGTGCCCCATTGTGGAGGGGGGAAACAAGAATAGACCCACTGCCGCCCCAACAAGAATGACGTAAAAGTCGACTAATTGGGTGTTTCCTTCGAAGTCGGAGTGCATATGCCTGAGAGGCAAAAAACCTACAGTCTGCATACAAATAAGCCAGATCTGTAAAATGGATGTGCACGCAACACTACGGTTCTGGAACAAGTCTAAAGTCCTGAGGTGGATGAACAACCAAAACTTTACCCCGGAGTTTACAGCCGTGAACGCGAAGAAGAAGAAGAAGAAGAAGAAGAAGAAGAAGAAGAAGAAGAAGAAGAAGAAGAAGAAGAAGAAGAAGAAGAAGAAGAAGAAGAAGAGAAGAAGAAGAAGAAGAAGAAGAAGAAGAAGGAGAAGAAGAATAAGAAGGAGGAGGAGAAGAAGAAGAAGAAGAAGAAGAAGAAGAAGAAGAAGAAGAAGAAGAAGAAGAAGAAGAAGAAGAAGAAGAAGAAGAAGAAGAAGAAGAAGAAGAAGAAGAAGAAAAAGAAGAAGAAAAAGAAGAAGAAGAAGAAGAAAAAGAAGACGAAGAAGAATAAAAATAAGGGGTTTAAAATGATTTTAATCTAGCTGAAATTGTGGTCACAGAACAGCATGATAATGAGTAGGGCATGTTCTTGTGTGTGCGCGCGCGCACACACACACACACACACACACAAGCGCGCACACGGACCCGGCAGAGAGAGAGAGAGAGAGAGAGAGAGAGAGAGAGAGACAGAGACAGAGAGAATTGCTCATAAGCAGTACACGATCAGCCCCGATAAATCGACGTAATAACTGAAGTGAACTGAATTTCTACCCCACCAGGACATCACACAAGCGATAAACACCCGATGACACAAAGTGCCACCATGCGGATGAGGATCACCGTGGAGAGGTCCCAGAAACCGCGTTCAGACGTCCGGCCATATATATGGCCTGCCTATATTGCGGCCCCTGGCAAAAGCCAGAGTAGGGCTTCAAATGACAAAAAATTTCGTCCTAAGAAGAACGAAGTTGGAATTAGTCGACGTAACAATACAAGAAATACACTTTTAAAAACAAGCACTAACCCCGCCCCACACTTCCTAGCGGCCAGTTAAAAGCCGGCCAGATTTTGAGCGGTATGGAGATTCGAGAGGTGGTTCAGTTTTCGAGGATTCCCTATGGCACATATGATGTCACAAACTGGTCTATGGTGGTTATAACTGGTGCCCACAATTGAATATTCTCTCCCTTTAAAACACGTTCGACTTTTGGTGTGTGCTGTAGTTAAACCGGGTATCATATGCCTAGATTGTATTGTTTAAGTGTGAAGCACGTGTGTCTAAGTGATACAATCTAATTTGAAAGGTAAGAAATAGGTTGAAATAAGTTTATGCTGCGAATAAATTCAGTATTTTCAGGTCTGCTGCCTATGTTCAGTTTAGTTAACAGCAGTCTTAGTGGCGGCTGAGTGTGACCAGCTGTTTTCTATACACGCTGAGAAATCGTCATTTACTGCTGATTACCGCCCTTTAAATAGCTGACGTGAGTTCAGGCTGAGAAAGGCAACCTCAGCTTTTCATGATTATACTAGCACACATTCTTCTCCACAATATACTCTCCGTCCGTAGTCGTAGACACGAACGAATGGTGGTCTCTGAATGCGCCTGAAACGTGCTACTTCTGAAATACTACAGGGACCAATAAGGGTGGGGTAATAGACCCATACACCATTACAAGCATGCCGTAAAAGGCCGATAAATAAAGATTTGCTGAAATCCGATGTGCTGGATTAAAATGCTGATATTTTAGCCTAGCTAAAAAAGCGGGGGTGGGGGGGGGGGTGGGGTTGGGGGGGGGGTGGGGTGGGGGGTGCGCAAATGTAGATAAAAATGAATTGGTTTTCATTTTCTTGTTGTTTAGAGCATGGCTTCACACACACACACACACATACACACACACGAGCAGAGAGAGAGAGAGAGAGAGAGAGAGAGAGAGAGAGAGAGAGAGATACGAACAGAGATGTTTTGTTTGAATATACTCACGTCTATGCCGTAGCCAGTATACCCACTTTTTATAATGTCTGATTGTATGTGAAATGATTTTTCAAAGCCTAACTCTATAATTACTTATATTTTTAGAGGAAAAAATATCCGACTCTCTCTCTCTCTCTCTCTCTCTCTCTCTCTCTCTCTCTCTCTCTCTCTCTCGCTGTCACTCAGTATGTATAGACGACTTCTTCCATATTTGGTCTCCTAGAAAGAAATATTTGTAAAACACAACTTGGCCTGTAAAAATAGAAACAAAGTATAGGGAATCGAACCTGGGGCTATAGTTCTGGAGACGGAGAGCCCTGACCACTAAAAGTACTATAGTCTCTGTATAGATGTATGTGAGAAACAATATTGGGGGGGGGGGGGGACAAAAAAAGAAAACAGTATAATTACTGCGCAATTAAACAAGGCCCAAACCCTTTGAAGCCACCCGCCCCTAGATAATGATTGGCACGCCTTTAGGGGATTTGGTTTGTTAAATGGCACAGTTCTAAAAATAATGATATAATAATTATTATTATGCGCTGAATGGTAAAGAATAAAAGTAAATAATATATCTGAAATACGGTGAATTTTTTTCTGTTCTTAATACGCGATACGCTACACTTGCGAAAAGAGGGGGTTAATGAAAGGGGGGGGGGGGGCGCTCCCTGCAAACTGAAAAAAAGAGGGTGGTGTCTTTAGGTTGAAAGTTTATTATTTATTTGTCAGTCAGCCAATTCTTGTTATTATACACAGAGTGACAAATACAAAATTAAAAAAAAAAAAATCAGCGCTACTGTAGTGAAATAATGACATGTGTAAACAATGACTTCTTGTAAAGAGAATTTTTATAACTGGTTGGAGGAGACAGTTCCCTTACACAATGTTTTATGGAAGGGGGTGGCGATGTTCAGACTAAAACAAAATTAGGGGTTGGGGAGCAGGGGCTTGAGCCGCCAGGTTACGGTGCATTAAAATGCCACATAAGAACGTGTACTGTAAGCATATGTTAGTTATATTTGTTTCAAAAGCTGCAGTCCACATAGCTGGTAAAAAGTCACATTGGCAATAGTTATGTTTGTATTTCTAGAAAGAATGACTTTCATAGCGTCTAAAATTGACGTACATCGACAGTGTGCAGTACCTACACGTGTGTGGTTGAGGGTGCACGCGCACCCGCTACAGCTGTTGAGATAACTACACAGCACAGACTTCCCGCCATTACCAAACTGCCTTCCCAGCTTACACCGGTTTGATCTCGTTCATAACTGGCTGTCACGTCCTAGCAAACGCAAATAGAAACTTCGATCTTTTTTTTTCTTTAGGGTTACCAGCCGGATAACCTGTCCCTTGTAGTCAGATATGGATTATGTAACATATATGAAACCGCTCCATGTAACAAATACGATACAGCGTTACTGACCCCTTCGCGCACATATATCCACATACTCACACTCACATAATATATACTCACATACATGAATATGGACAAAGACATATAGGTAGACATAGTCAGACAGACAGACAGACAAGCAGTTGGATAGAGAGAAGAATGTTAACATAAAATAGAGAGGCAGAGGAGAATAGATAGATAGATAGATAGATAGATAGATAGATAGATAGATAGATAGATAGATAGATAGATAGATAGATAGATAGATAGATAGATAGATAGATAGATAGATAGATAGATAGATAGATAGATAGATAGATAGATAGATGGATGGATGGATGGATGGATGGATGGATGGATGGACGGACGGACGGACGGACGGACGGACGGACGGACGGACGGACGGACGGACGGACGGACGGACGGACAGACAGACAGACAGACAGACAGACAGACAGACAGATAGATAGATAGATAGATAGATAGATAGATAGATAGATAGATAGATAGATAGATAGATAGATAGATAGATAGAACGAACGAACGAACAAACTTTATTTTTAAAGGGTTAAGAATATGGCACGCAGACAGACAGACAGACAGACAGACAGACAGACAGACAGACAGACAGACAGACAGACAGACAGACAGACAGACAGACAGACAGACAGACAGACAGACAGACAGACAGACAGACAGACAGACAGACAGACAGACAGACAGACAGACAGACAGACAGACAGACAGACAGATAGATAGATAGATAGATAGATAGATAGATAGATAGATAGATAGATAGATAGATAGATAGATAGATAGATAGATAGATAGATAGATAGATAGATAGATAGATAGACACTAATCAATGTTGCGGACAGCCTGCTTGGCACACGATGATAGTGGTGAAGACATATTCTGGTTTCGTCTGTCCACACTGAGGTCACCTAGATAATTGACAGTTAGGGGAGAGGCTTCCTTCAAAGTCGGAGTGCATCTAATGAGAGGCGAGGAACCAACAGTCTGCATACAAATCAGCCATATTGTAAAACGGATGTACTCAAGTTCTCGAACAAGACCAAAGTCCAGAAATGGACGGGCAACCATAAATTTCGACCGGAATTTACAGCCAGTGAACGCGAAGAAGAAGAAGGGAGAAGACGACGAAGAAGAAGGAAGAAGAAAATAAGCAACGAAGAGCGGGGAGGGGACAGAGGGTTTGTGTGTTGGTTCCTGAGAATTTTACACATTGCTGGAAATATTAACTTGATAATCTAGTGAAATGAGATATTACTATCAACTGTTTGCTCACAGTTTCACCTCTTCTTGTTTGTACCTCCCAGATCAGACGACAAAATGGTTGATCTGCCTCCTGTGTGTGAGCACGATCTCATGGAGACGCAGCCTGCAGTGTCAGACAACGACCAGCATTGCCCCTTGTCTGTGCAACGTCAGCAGTGTGAATCCGCTGATACTGACACCGTCAGCGATCACAGCCAGCTGTCAGACACCCAGGACCTGTCTTGTAAAGAAACAGATTCAGTTTCCGAAGTATTGACTTGCTCTCCTTCCTTTACTAACGGCAACGGGGAAATAGGCAGGCAGTACTCTAGTGTTCCCGGACGGGATGACCATCAAACAGATGAGGATAGCTGTCAACAGGACATCGTTAGCAAGATATTTAATAATACCTACACGGATACAGTTTCAAGTGTCGCAAGCACCACTTTTCTTATAAAACCATCAGATCAGGAACAAGATTCGGCAGTAGACTATGAAGATGTTACAGAAATCTACTTCAATTGCGGTTATACAGATCTACCTAAACGGAATATTGACAGAGGGGAACAGGGCTCTCACAAAATTAGCGCCAAACGAAATGCAAGCTTTGATGTAATCAATGGCGAATCTTCAGACAGGACAGAAGAAAAAGAGCCCGAACAGTCAGAAAATATAAGACATTCGGAAAATCCATTTCAGAACATTGAAGAGTTCGTCCATCAGTATCTAATTCCTGCTACTGAGAGTGAAGTTCTTTCATTTGATATTCAGGAAATTACACCATCAGCTGGTCTACTTCTTGAGCCTACTGAGTACAGGGATGTAACAAGACAACTCTTGGAGATTAATGAGTCTTTTCTGTTTGGTAGTCAGTCTAGTGTATATGACCAGGACAAGACAACGCAGAATAAGAGGGCTGTAACTATGCAGAATCTTCACGAGCGCTCTAGTTTTGTCAATCTAACGAACATTGAAAAGATGAGCAGAGTATGTCAGAGAGCATTAGTTTATCTCAAAGACGATTTGACGTTTGGATCTCTGGCCTCCCTAAGCAACATAGCAGCCAAACAATGCACAAACCCAGCTCAAGAAGTTCATTTTATTAACAATGGCCACACTGTCGACGTCATAGGAAGCACTAAGCATAGACGAAATGTCATCGCTCTAAGCATCTCAATAACGTTGTTGTTCATTGCCATGGGATCTGTTCGAAACTTGCAGAGTAGTCTCAACCAGGAAGGTGGTATTGGTATAATATCAATGGCTGTCAGTTTTGTTGGATATATGTTGGGAAGCATTGTCAGTTCCTCCATTGTACAGAACTTTCAACCTCGCAAATGTATTGTGGTCAGCTTGATCCCTAATCTAATTTACGTGGCAGCCAATATCTACCCAGTTTTATGGCTGATGACAGTTATATCTTTCATCCAGGGTATTTCTTTAGCTATCATCTGGAATGCAATGAGCACTTATATCACATTTTTGTCAAGGGGATATGCTGCCAAGAAAAACCAGGATTTTGACAAAGTATCCTGCAATTTCTTTGGCACATTTTGTCTTATTTATCAAAGTTACCACATCATTGGTAACCTGATTGCCTCCTTAGTGTTGATGCCAAGTACAGTAACCACTCTCATGAATTCTACATTTCAAAATATTACAGCCAACAAGACCACATCTAGCTCAAGCCTGGACACACTGTTGGAAGACTTTGCTGCACCCGTTCCTGTTGTGTTTCAAATAGAATCGGTTTCGGAGATGAGTCAAAATGGGAATCTCTGGGATTCTACCCATCTCAATCTTTGTGGAGCTGCCTTCTGTAATCACTTCGAAGTGAATGGCTCGATGGTGTCAGTCAGCACAAGTACCAAATATTTATTGTTCGGTATTTACATGGGCTGTATAGCCCTGTCTATGCTTGTTGCTGCCTTTGTGCTGGAACCTCTCAACCACCGCTTGTTTCAGTCAACAGTTAGTCCAGCTAAGAAGCTGAAGCGGCAGCTGGTTTCACTTGCTCATTTCTCTATAGACAGCCGTTTCCTGCTACTGCTGCCTATGCTGATGTATTCCATCATGCAGTTTGGATTCATTTCAGGTGAAGTGACAATGGTGAGTCTTTCTTGATTGTAATACTGTGAAATGATCTTTCTTTGAGGTGCAATTGTCGTCTTATACTGAAGTTTTTTCTACCAAACTTCTTTTTCTCAATTTTATGTTTCAGTAGAATACAAATGCTTAGCCCAGTCCTGTGCAGACAGGACTGGTTGTATTTTTAATCAAACTTGTATGCGAGAGAATGAAGACACGTGAAGGTAGCCAGTTTCACATCTTAACACAGAAGAAAAACAGAAAGACAAGCAGATAGAGTGACAGATCGACAAACGGAGTAACAAGCAACTAAAAAAAAAAAGGGGGGGGGGGGGGGCAGAGACAAAGAATAAAGGGACAGGGAGACAAACAGGCATCAAAATATATTTCTGAAGAAACACACAGAGAGACAAAAATGGGGGGGGGGGGGGGGGGTGCTTAAAGAGACACACAGACAAACATTTATGCACGCATATTCTTGAGAAGTAATACTGTTTGTTAAGATGGCTGTATTAGATACTTTAATACTGAGTCCCGAAGGAAATGAAACACCAGTCCATTTATGTGGACAGTATTTTCGCCATTGTGTTTTCAGGCGTTTGTCACATGTCCGCTGGGCATCCACATGGTTGGATACATCATGATTTGTTTTGGAATCACTGCTAGCATGTGTTCCTACATCAGCGGCATCCTCTGCAAGTACACGGGCCGTGTATCTCAGATCATTACAGGTAAGAACTTCTGCTACATGTGATAAGATCTGCCAAGTTCTTCCGTAAAAACTATGTAGGTAATCCATTGCATGATGTGAACATACTGCTTTATAATAAATGTGTTTATGTGATTTGTCATTGTTGTGCAGCAGGCTGCTAGTGTTTGCGCACCTGCATGCCACCCAGTACTTTGTTGGGACAAAGAGATATTTAAATAATGTCAACACAAACATTGTACAATTTATCGACAGGCATATGTCTCTAAATCTCGCCAGGTGTGTTGCTGCACTTACGTCAACATATAATGAAGCATAAACAACTGAATAAATATTACTGAAATACGAATATTCTTTCTTGATACATTTCCATATATATACAATGAGATATGTTGTTAAAATATTTTTAACAGATAGGTGACACATTATCTCCGCTATGATGAACTGTGAAGTGGACATATACAATTTGAGCGCTGTCAGCCTGTAACAGGGTAAAAGTAATACACTTCAAAAAACACCAGATTTTTTTTTTGCAAAAAATGTTTGCTCCAAGGTAAATCTAGTCTTCAAATGGTACAAGCTAAAGCCATGGGAAGTAAAGGCCGCAGGCGTGATGCTGATGGTATCGTCCATCGCTTGGTCTATAGAAATGAGTCTAGCCTCATATGTTAGATAAGCTACTGGAGCGTGTAAAGGGTCATTTTTACTTTTAATAGTAATAAACTGTAATTAGGATTGATGACCAGTACCTGCTTACTGCACACATCGCACAGAGAGTTCATAAGTTTACTGGGAACGAAGTGCGGTGCTTAGGAACATGCAATGAACTCGGACCCAACTACAAACTTATGAGTGACGAAGTCAGGCCACGACATTCTGATTGGACGTCCATTCATAAATCCTAACTTGTGAGACTCGCAAGTTTAAGTAGCAGGGGTGTCAGCTTGGTGCGACGTTGTATTGCGCCGACGCTCTTATCGGCGACCACTCTTGCTCTATATTACTGGATGTGAGCGCTTTTAAAGACCCTACAACATGTACAACTGGCCGTAACCCCAACATTTCCTACCCCACACACTGATCCTAGATCCCACGAGAGAGTGCGTTCTGCGTCCCGTGACATTTTGCGATGGCCCAGACAAAGCTGTGTTGCTGCAGATACGCAACGCTACCCTCCTAGCACCCAACAACGCTGACAGCTGGAATAAACTTATTTCCTACTGAAAATTCTAGACGGCTGTTATAAATCTACCAATACACGAGTGAGAAGGCAGTGTAGGCGGTTGCTTCTCCCAGAAGAACGATTAACAGAAAGCAGAAAGCTTTGCAAACACAGCAGTACACCGGGACACCCTTCCAACCTTTACCAATGTTGACCAGCCTGAGCAAGCATCAATGAAAGGTCGGCTTGTGTGTAGATTGGTCCAAGTTCGTTACTAGTTATGGTGCTTACAAACGGGTAATGAGCCAAGTAATCTCTAGTTTCTGATGCCACGAGATCATGCATGCGTGAACAACCTGACAAACGGGGTTGTGCACGCGAACACATACAAGTAATTTCTGAAGCAGTAGCAGACTACTGGCTGTCACTGGATGCATGACTGAACCTTCCTCACAAGCCAAGTTGTACACTGTGTGTCGCCACCCTATAGAATCATCACGCATGAATGCACATATTCGGGATATAATGTATTATCTAATGTTACAATTACGTCACACTCTACAGCGATAGATAGGTCGTCACGAGCCTCTTCACATGTCGCAGGCATCCGTTCCTCTCAACATGGTTGCTTGGTGTTCTGGATCATTCTATGTACGAAATTCCTCAGTATTGTCGCTTAGCACTACAGACTCATTAAACAGTAAATTTATGTGGCTATTTAGTTTTATTGACAGGGAATCTCTCTGGAAATTGATGCGATACTATGGCAACCCCCAAAAAATTATAAACTTAGTAAAAGCAACATATAAAGCTTAGGATAGGATACACTCTGAGAGAACCTGAGATCAGTATAACTAGAATGGAACCCACATGGACATAGAAATAAAGGCAGACCAAATAAACACACTGAAAAGGGAGCTAAGATGGGAAGGGCATGGGGTGAGCTGCAATAGCCAAGGATAGAACGATTTGGCGTAAGTTGGTTCAGGGCCTATGCTCCACTGGGGAATAGAAGGTAGAAACAGAAAGAAGTTACGTCTATTATATTGTCCACTGATAAAGGCCCCAGTAGAAAACTTCATTGTATTGGTGCTTGATACCCAGTTTCCCCTTGCTGCGATTGATAGTCCTAGTTGATTGTTTTTGTGTGTTGCCATATGTAGGTTACTGATAGGGCAGTATAGCAGACTCCGACATATTAAACGTTTGGATGCAATAACATCTTTTTCAGTACTTTTAATAACCGTACATCAAAAAATCTGTTACTGCTTCATTGACTTGTTTTAGTAGAATATTTAAATAAACATTGGTTGCATGTCTTTTACATGGCGCCAAACCAGCCCCAGCATTTAAGGGTTGTTGTGTGGCTTATCTAAACAATGTTATATTCAATAGTTTGCCATTGCTTTCAAATTTGTATGGTGCTCACGGTGGTCACGCTATAATCAAAATCATAGCGGTCTGCAACCGAGTCGCTTACACATCACTTTGGACCCTTGTATATCGGGTTTGTGGAATGTGTTCACAACCTGAAACCACGGTCATTAATAATGCCACAAACTTCAATAAAGTACACCGAATCTGCATATTTACATACATAACAAACGTGGCAAAGTAACAGAATCTCTACACAGCTAGTGGTGTCCACATTTAACTAGTCGCCATGTTTGTTTCCTTATTCAGCCTCAGTGCTCAACCTGGCTGTTCTAGTGTTCATGACATACTGGCAACCCACGTCCGGCTCTCTCATACCTTACTTCTGTGTCATTGGTTTATGGGGCGTCGGTGATGGTGTCTGGAATTGCCAAGTCAACAGTAAGTACATTATAGAGCTGAACCTTTTGTAGTTGTTGTTAGTGCAGAAAATGCATGAAAACATGCAGTCATTATATCAGTGTTTGGTCGCGTACTTCTACACCTCAAAAGTTCATTCCGTGTCCTTGAACTTTGAGAGTTACGGTTAAATACTGTCAATGGTTATGGTAAAATTAGAGAAATTAACTCAGACAAACCAAGTTAACTAATTCTAGATCTAAAACTCTCTGTCAATCACATGATATCATGCCGTAAAAAAAAAATCATGCATCATAACCAGTGAGAGAGAACCCGAGGTAGACTAAAAACATGGTGGAATCATGTTAACGAAACTCTACAACAGAATCAAGTGTCTACGGTCGAGGCAGCCAGCACAGCGAGAACCTGAACCAAAATATTTTTCCCCTGCTCCTGGCCATAGCATTTCACTAATTCCTAATATGTTGATGTTCATTCTCTTCATTTTCATCTTGACGTTATCCAACTTTCCGTTTTGTACGAGTGTTCTGACATTCAATGTACCAGTGTTCAGGATGTTTCTACCATTTACTTTTTCTACAGTAGCTGGATGACGGTCTGGTATCACTCGTAGAACATGATGCTTATACCGGACGAGGGGATTCCACTGGAATCCCTATTCACGTCGTTATCTTAATTCGTTATGTTTCAAGTCATGATTTTTTTAGGGATAACACATCGGTGGTTTCCCCTTGACTTCCGCAGGTTTGTATATGGTTTGACTCCAAAAGCCTTTGTCTAAAGAGACTTATCCTGCAAAGGGGGGGGGGGGGGGGGAGGGGGAGGGGTTATTGGCGCCTCTTAAACGCCGATGGTCATGTTGTAGAGTTTTGAGGTATTTTATAGAGCTAGCTGTCCCACCAACTAACTAGCCTCCTCTCAATGACCATCACCTGTTTTGGTCTTTGGCCACTTATTTATTTTATTCGTGGCTAACCTCTATATCTAGAGGCCTTTCCATCCGCCACCTGGTGGACGCGCCTAGAAGTAGGACAGGCTCTTACTCCAGGCGAAGATACGTTTTTTTTCCTCTTGAAAACTCGATGTCTTATCAGTGGAAGACTTAATCATATTTATCAAATACATGTACAAAAGAGAACGCGGTGCTGCGGTTGTAATTTGTATTGAGCTTTTTAACGGCAATGGGGCTACAGCTACAAGTAAGTAAAAGAGCATATACCCACGAGTTATGACAGATGCCACGTTACTGACCACCAATGACAGAACCTGTAATTTTAACCAATAGACTGTTTGAGTACAGCTGTAATGAGAGCAGACTGAGGGGACCAGTAATTAAATATATCTATGCTCCTGGCTTCTTGACGGCTGTATCAAAGTCGCACTGATACTGGTGTCACGCCACACAGTATCTAAAGACAGCAGTGGATGCACTTAAATAACAATCAAATAGATATTAAATATACATTATTATCTAGCAGTATTTTCACACAGTATATTGGAATTATCGCACAAGCTAAAGGACTTGAACTTCGGCAGATCGAGATCGATGGATTAAACATGCAGTTAAATTGACCATTATTTTTTTTTCTAAACAGTAATAAAATCGCAAAACTTGAAAACATAATAGCTCTATAAAAAAAAGTTGTTGGTACTAGGTACTGTTGCGTACCGTCAATAATTGCCAGTACGCTCAGTCCTTCAATGCAGCTGCTGCTATGTTACGTTATGTTATGCTAGTTTCAGCTTCATAGCAAACGGGTCACCCAATAGTTGCTCCGCTCCTGTGCCAACGAAAAAACACACAGAGTGTTCATCACAGTCCCTTGTGGAAAGATTGACAGACTGCTGTCTCGGCGTAGGCACTAGCATACACACGCATTAAAGGCATACTGTAGCCACCAGAAGTGCTAACACAAACAGTCCGATATTAGAAATGCAGTTCATCATCGACGGTAGCAGAGGTAACCCAACAAATTAGCAGTTGCACACGCGATCAATTTTAATCACTTAAGGGCACCACCAATATTTTGACGACAGGCCACGCGCCATTTTCTGAATCTACAATCTACAATTTACAACATCACGTTGGTCACAGTCGAAAAACATTCCAAATAAATTCCGCAGCTCACAGGGTCGCACCATGCTGGGCGACGAAACTATATCCTTTCAGTCAACAAATGGAGCAAAAATGCAACGGCTACCGTCTGGCAGAAGCAAAAACTTTGCCATGACTTGAAACAGCGGCCGTGCCCAACGTCCATTTTAAACGGCTTTGCTTTTGTCACCAATGGTTACCTACCAGTGTATAAAACAAGTATCGGTGCTTACCACGAACTGTTTATTACATTAGCGTTTGAAGCACATTATGCTAAAGAAACAATGCACTTACTGCTTACCGCTAAAACAAAAAGCCCTTCCCTAAAGAAAGGAAAACACATCTACAATGCAAAGATAATTAGAAGATAAATGGGAACCTATGTGGATATTTAAAACAAAGGTGTTCATTGTTTATTAAATATGTATCCAATTTATCACTTTACAGGCATAATGGGCGTGGTTTTCTCCGACAAATTTGAGGAGGCATACTCTGGTCTGCGAGTGGCCCAAGGTTTGGGTGTCGCCATCTTGTTTAGCTACTCGAATCTCGTCTGCATGACTGTGAAAATTTACATCATTGCTGGAGTCTGTGTGGTTTCTCTAGTCTGCTACCTTACCATGGAGCTTGTAGTCAAGTACAGAATCCCCCACAAGCAGACTTTAATTAAACAAACCTCCGTTTAGCTCTAAAATTTTGTGAATTAAATGTTTTCTATGAATTATTCACTTTATAATTACTGTGGTTTACTGCTGGGGTCGCGGTTACGCAGTGCCTGATGCTTGCTTGCCACCCAGAAGGTCTTGGGTTCTAATCCTAATTGAAACGATGTTTTTGTCGTTAACTTCAAATGGCATGAAATGGAATGGGAAGTGAAGGCGGTCAGCTGTATGCTGATTATATCACGCTTTGATTGTAGGTTTGGCTATACAATTATGGGTCTATCATCACAAACCCAATGCCCCACTGACGTGAACAGTGACCTTTTATAAAGGTCAGAATGCAGCTTTAATTCTTTCAAACTCGTACATGAAAAGATTTAACCAACACTGCTATTGATTACTTTTAACCGCTGTAAACACAGACAGTTTAGAAGAGTTAACGAGTTAAAGTAATAATTTTTTTGGTGACTCTTTTATTTGCAGACAGTGATTGCTGTCACCTTCCTGTGACTGACAGTGTAACAACTAGGTAGATTAATCTTGTCATTTCTAGATGAATCTAATTTATTTCATGTAATTCCACATTGACTTTTTATATCATTGTGAGGTGTGTGTGTGTGTATATATGTATGTGTGTATGGGTGTAAGGTGGGAAAGAGAGAATTGTGTGGGGTTGAAAGCAATAGAAAAGAGATGGAAATATATATATACACACACACATATATATATATATATATATATATATATATATATATATATATATATATATATATATATATATATATATATATATATATAGAGAGAGAGAGAGAGAGAGAGAGAGAGAGAAGGAAGAAAAAAGGGGGCCGGGGAGTTTAAAAAAAAAAGTATGTGATGAACCTTCATGACATACATCAAATTCCGTATACATGTTGATTATGTTTGTTGTACTATAGCAGTTAAAATATGATCTATTGTTGTAAAACAGCATAAACAACTTGACTGACTCTTTATCCCCTCCAAGATGCTGCCCTTAGGTTTGACCCCCCCCCCCCCCCCTTGCCAGCACTCAAAGATTTGTTTCCTGGTTGGCAATCCAATGTGGCAAACCTCAGATACCCCATTAAACCCGATAAGAAGTTATAATTATGGCACCTGTCATGGCATTGACAAGTACTACCCAGGTGTACTCTGTTGGCCTAGCCGGGTAATGGACTCCTATTGCCAGATTGCATACTTTTGAGCAGTTGTAAACATGTCAAGTTAATTAGTCTTATGACAATAGCAAATTTTGCTGGCGTGCATTTATTAACATTAGTATTATTTTGTAGCTGCAAAAACGCTTTCTTGAATATTGTATCCGTTTTACATGAATTGTGTTTTAACTCATTTAATAGGTTACAGTGGGTAATGATCATATATGTTTCCGGTAATGTTTTACTGACAATATCCTAGCAACAATACATGTTATAGTTGTGTGCCCTATTTGAAATTTAAAACCATCACCATTAAGTGCCTTGTCTACTAGCTGGGCGAGCATGCTTCTCCACACGTGGCTTTCTCCAACAGCATGTAACCGTGTACTGACACCCTTCCATTAATCAGTATACTGACACCCTTCCATGTATCAATGTACTGACACCCTTCCATGTATCAGTGTACAGACACCCTTCCATGTATCAGGGTACTGACACCCTTCCATGTATCCGTGTACTGACACCCTTTTATGTATCAGTATACTGACATCCTTCTATGTATCCGTGTACTGACACCCTTCCATGTATCAGTTTACTGACACCCTTCTATGTATCAGTGTACTGACACCCTTCCATGTATCAGTTTACTGACACCCTTGTATGTATCCGTGTACTGACACCCTTCCATGTATCCGTGTACTGACACCCTTCCATGTATCAGTGTTCTGACACCCTTCTGTGTATCTGTGTACTGACACCCTTCCATGTATCCGTGTACTGAAACCCTTCCATGTATCTGTGTACTGACACCCTTCCATGTATCAATGTACTGACACCCTTCCATGTATCAGTGTACAGACATCCTTCCATGTATCTGTGTACTGACACCCTTCCATGTATCAGTGTACAGACATCCTTCCATGTATCTGTGTACTGACACCCTTCCATGTATCAGTGTACAGACATCCTTCCATGTATCTGTGTACTGACACCCTTCCATGTATCAATGTGCTGACACCCTTCCATGTATCAGTGTACAGACATCCTTCCATGTATCAGTGTACTGACACCCTTCCATGTATCAGTGTACAGACATCCTTCCATGTATCAGTGTACAGACATCCTTCCATGTATCAATGTGCTGACACCCTTCTATGTATCCGTGTACTGACACCCTTCCATGTATCAGTGTACTGACACCCTTCCATGTATCAGTGTACTGACACCCTTCCATGTATCCGTGTACTGAAACCCTTCCATGTATCTGTGTACTGACACCCTTCCATGTATCAATGTGCTGACACCATTCCATGTATGAGTGTACAGACACCCTTCCATGTATCAGTGTACTGACACCCTTCCATGTATCAGTGTACTGACACCCTTCTATGTATCCGTGTACTGACACCCTTCCATGTATCAGTGTACTGACACCCTTCTATGTATCCGTGTACTGACACCCTTCTATGTATCAGTGTACTGACATCCTTCCATGTGATCATTATAAGAAAATGCGTCAGGATACCACGTGTCGTAAACATTATGATACAGGTACGAGCATATTCAGTGATGTTTCCCAAATATGTGCTGTTTGCTATACTTTTTTCCCCCCGATCCAGTATCTCATCATATATTTTGCTACTCAGCAAGAGTAATATATTTACAAAATAAATATATTTTCAATAAAAATGGTTTGTTGATGATTTCGGTCGGCTCTGTGGCTAAGTCGATGCGAACGTTTCGTAATACCGGGGTGCTGGGTTCGATCCCAGCTGCAGGCGATGCGCCTTGACCGTCCAGAAAGCAATGGCAAACTACTGGACGTAAATTTGCTAAGAGAAACCACACAACAGCCAGGGGCTGCTGGGGTTGGTTCTGCAACGTCCTGTAAAGGATACGCAACTAATCAACCTGATGATTTCGAGCTGCATCACTTCATCTCTTCTCTTCGCTGTTGCCTTGTATCTGGTATTGTTACCACTGGATTTCCAATCAATAACCAACGCCATATTTGGGAATAATACCTCAACCACAATCTTGGCCACAATGGTTTGATGTTGTTGTAGCTTTACTATATGCAACTGGGGAAGCTAACAATGGACAATTGTTAATCAGCTGTGTTCGAACCGCCACCCAAACTGGGTTAAATAGTGTATAGTCTATAACATATGACCCTATAAACCATATGATCCTTTATATATATATATATATATATATATATATATATATATATATATATATATATATATATATATATATATATATATATATGTTTGTGTGTGTGTATATGCATCTACCCATCTATCCACATAGACACTGACTCACATACGTTTATATATATATATATATATATATATATATATATATATATATATACATACATATATACACTCGTAAATACTAGGGCTGTACCGAATATTCGCTTCGTATTCGCTTCGGGCCCGAATAGTGGACCTATTGACTATTCGGTATTCGACGAATAGTTGCGGTCGGGTCGAATACGAATAGTAGTTACCTTACACTCGCTTCTGCATACACGGCCTTAATGCTGACAACATGGAACGATTGGAAAGAATATAAACTCTGGCCACATCCAAGTCGATAATATGAAAATCAAACGAACGGAAACATATAAGTACTTGGGTGCAAACTTCAACTGCTCCAACATGCTGAGAGAAGAAATGCAATCTAGAAATAAAGTATACTATGCCCTTTAACATCTGCTAAAGTCAAAGTGTCTGTCTCGCAACACCAAGATCAAAATATATAAAACGTTGATAAGACCAGTCGTTTTATATGGCTTTGAAACTTGAAGCAGAAATAAAAAAGATGAGGCCTTATTACAGGTTTTCGAAATCAGTCTAACGACAAATCTTTGGACTTCTCAAAGATGCTAACAGCAAGGAATGGAGAGTGAGAAGCAACAACGTAACACATAATCTGTTTAAATCGCCATTGATCACTGGCATCATGAGAGCTAAAAGACTAAAATGGTTGTGGCATATAGAAAGAATGTCAGATGACAGAGAAGTAAAAACTGTATACACCTGAGAGAGGAATGGGTGTAGACCACGAGGCAGACAAAAAAGAAGTTCGAGAGATAATGTCCAGCCAGACCTGCAAACAACTGGTGTCACAAATTGTGAAGAGAAGGCCAGCCAGAGAGATGAATGGAGACAAGTGATATCTGCAACAGTAAACCCCAAGGGCTCATAATGCTAAAGAAGAAGATGACTATTCTGTGCTAATTTATGTGAAGT